CCAATCGGAGGGCAGGCTTGTAGTGTATACCCTTTGGTTGGTTGATGAAGCATGGAGGGGATTGTAACCATAGCAATGAAAGGATATACGATAGGATGAATGTAAAACTAATATTCTCCCATGTAAACTATCACATAATTCACAATAAAACATTAAAAAAAAAAAATCAGCCATTCCACCTGTCTCCTCTTTCACTATTTTTGTTCAGCTTCTCCTGTTGTTGTTGTTGTGAAGTGCCTTCAAGTTGGTTCTGACTCATAGTGATCCCATGCATAACAGAACGAAACACTGCCTGGCTCTGCATCATCCTCACAATTGTTGTGTTTGAGTCCATTGTTGCTGTCATTATGTCAATTCATCTTGTTGGAGGTCTTCCTCTTTTCTATGACCTTCCACTTTACCAAGCATAATGTCGTTCTCCAGGGACTGATTCTGCCTGACAACATGTCCAAAAAACTAGAGACGAAGTCATGCCATCCTTGCTTCTAAGGAGCATTCTGGTTTGTATTTCTTCTCCCAGTCGGTATTCAATCTACTTTTCTTTATCCTTTTGTCTGATGCTCAGGATTCCAGAATTATCATCTGTTTTATTTGGTCTCTCGTGTCTTTGTTGTAGAGGGTCTGGGTAATGGGTTGCCTAGTCAATCATCTTGATGGAAGTTTGTATATTTGTATGAGCTTTCAAAAATCCACTTTCTTGACAGACCTGGAATATCTGTATGACTGCTCTAAGGATCATTCACAACAGTTAGACAAAGGAACATTGCTTCTGTGCTGCATTTCCCTATCAGGTTATATGCCCATCAAAACCACGGGAAGTCCTTACTTTGTTTTCTTCTATTATGGAAGCAATTTATGATTCTCTGCAGTTGTCCTGAGCTCTGGTGGTTGAATTGTTAAATGCGCGACTGTTAACTAAAATGCCAATAGTTCAAATCCACTAGTAGCTCCACAGGAATAAGATGTGACAGTCTGCTTCTTAAAGATTTATAGCCTTACGATGTCTATGTGGCAATTCTACTCTATCTTGTGGTGGTGGTGGTTGTGTGCCTTGGGGTTAGTTCAGACTCATAGCGACCCTGTATAAGGTTTCTGAGGCTGTAAATCTGTACAGGAGCAGAAAGCCTCATCTTGGTAGATTTTAACTAAGTTAGTAGCTCAGTTCATAATCCACCATGTGACCAGAACTCCTTACTCCATCTGTAAGGTTTGTGTATGTGTGTCTGTGTACAGTTGTCGTAACAGGCAGAATTTTAAATAGCATGGTAGGTGTTCTACAACTCTTTTATTTGAATTTACAATTTATTGAAGAGGTAATGTAAAGATATTTTAAAAACCCAGAGGCCGATACAAATGAATAATAAATAATAAATTAGGTCTCATAGGCTATAAGAATGTGGCACTGTGGGTTAATGCACTGGACTTCAAGGTCAGTTTGAACTGTAAGATCAGCAGTTCAAGTTTATCAGCCGCTCATCAGAAACCCTATATAGAGTCACTATGGGTTGGAACCGAATCAGCTATACTTAACAACAACAACACAGGCTGTAAAGATTCCACAAAAGTGTTTCCTAATCCTTCCATTAAAGGAACGCTGGTAGCATAGTGGATTACAAGTTGGGCTGCTAACAGCAAGGTCAGAGGTTGGAATCTACCAGTCACTCCATTGGAGAAAGATGAGGCTTTCTGCTCCTGTAAAGTTTTGCAGTCTTGGAAACCCTATATAGGGTCACTATGAGTCAAAACTGACTCCTTTCTGATCCTGTAAAGATCTGAAGTCTTGGAAACTCTATATAGGGTCACTGAGTCAAAACTGACTCAGTGACATACAACTACCACTACCACCTGCCATTCCATTACCAAATGCCTTTTTACATTAATTTATAACTTTATAACCCACCTGATTGAATGAATGCAACTAAAATTTATTGAGTGCCTTCTGCATACCAAAACTTGTGTTAGATGCTTGAGTACATTTCCAAAAAGTTTTATGATGACTTAAAATAAAAAAAAAAAGACACACAAGATAATTATAAAATAGAAAAAAAGATGATGAGAGTTTCCTAGTGGTCAAACTGAATATCATTACAAGAAATTAGAACAAAAACAAAAAAGGAATCAAATTCTTTTTCTTATACTAAACCCCAAGAGGAATGGTTGTTGCTGTTAAGTGCCCTCAAATTGGTTCCTACTCATAATGACCCTGTGTAAGGTCTCCAAGGAGCAGCTGGTGGGTTTGAACTGCCAACCTTGTGATATCACAGTACCACATCAGGTAGTACTTTACTAAAGATACAATGAAAGGTGCCCACATCTTTTCAACTTCATTCCTATCTCCCCTCTCCTCTACTACTTTGGTTAAAAGTATTGAGAAACTTTTTGCTTAGGACTAAAATATAGCCCTGGTGTGGTGCTGTGGAATAAAACAGTGGACCAAAAGGTCAGTTTGAGCCACAAGGTTGGCAGTTCAAACTCAACAGCTGCTCCTTGGAAACCCTATATAGGGTTGCTGAGTGGGAACCGACTTGGAGGCACTTAACAACAGTAACATAATGTTGTTGTTAGGTGCCATTGAGTTGGTACTGATCCATAGCGACCTTATGCACAGCAGAACGAAACACTGCCCGATCCTGGGCCAACCTCACTACTGTTGCCATGCTTGAGCCCATTAATGCTGCCACTTAGCCAATCCATCTCATTGGGGGTCTTCTTGTTTTTCTCTGACTCTCCACCTTACCAAACACTATATCCTTCTCCAGTCACTGGTCCCTTCTGACAATATGTCCGAAGATGAAGGTTGGCCATCTTGGCTTCCAAGGAGCACTCTGGCTGTACTTCTTCCAAAACGGATCTTCTTTAGACAGCATAGGAGATGACTATACACATGAACCTCACCAGATGGAATACATAGAAATCAAATTGACTACATCTGTGGAAAGAGACGATGGAAAAGCTTCATATCATCAGTCAAAACAAGGCCAGGGGCAGACTGTGGAACAGACCATCAATTACTCATATGCAAATCCAAACTGAAGCTGAAGAAAATGAAAACAAGTCCACAAGGGCCAGCCAAAATATTCCCTTGAATATATCTCACCTGAATTTAGAGATCATCTGAAGAACAGATTTGATACATTAAGCACTAAAGACCGAAGACCAGAAGAGTTGTGGGATGACATCAAGAACATTATACATGAAGAAAGCAAAAAGTCATTGAGAAGACAAGAAAGAAGGAAAAGGTCAAAATGGATGTCAGAAGAGACACTGAAACTTGCTCTCCAGTGTAGAGATGCTAAAGCAAATGAAAACAACATAATAGCAGACATTTAATTAGCAAAAGAACATATGAGCGTTAGTCTTTCAAACAATATTCCAAACCATCTCTTGGTTGAGATTTGGTGAAAGTTGCTGTTTTTAGTTGTCATCAAGTTGACTCCAAGTCATGATATCCCCATATGTACAGAGTAAAACTGCTCCATAAGGTTTTCAAAGCTGTGGCATTTTGAAAGCAGATTCTTAGACCCTTCTTCCTTGGTTTCTCTAGGTCGTATCAAACCACCAACTTCTGGTCTACTAGTTAAGTTAACCTAAGGACTCCTTGATAAAAGCTAAAAATCCTAAACAATGCGTTTTGATGAGCACCTAAATACCTAAATTAATCATCTGAGTTTCTGATTTAGATGGAAGCCATGCACTCTAAATTTTGTCTAAATACATTTGGGCTGAACAACTTTTGTTAAAATAATGGTGCCTAGCTAAAGACATTTGCCTCCAGGAAGAGTCATCCCATCTCAATGAGTTTATAGCCTATTGGCTTTAGTTTAGTGCCATGGAGTTGGTCACCACTCACAGCGATCCTCTACAGGTTTCCAAGGAGGAGCTAGTAGGTTTGAACTCCCGACCAGTGCTCATCCACAGCAGCCTGGAGGATCTCTTATATATTTGCAGTTTTCAATCCCTTCTTCATAAACTCCATAAACAGCCTTTGTTATTTAGTGCCATTGGGTTAATACCAACTCATAGCGACTCTGTATACGGTTTCCTAGGAGTGACTGGTGGGTTTGAACCACCAACATTGTCTTTAGCAGTCTAGTGCTTATCCTACAGTGCCACCCAGGGCTCCAAACATCCTTTATCATGTAGATATATCATGGCCTGCTGGAATGCTCCTTAGATGCTTGGATGAGGATGAGAGACTTTGTTTCACGTACTTTGCATATGTTATCAGAAAGGACCAGTCCCAGAAGGACATCATACTTGGAAAAATGGATGGTTAGCAAAAAAGAGGAAGACCCTTAACAATGTGGAATGACGCAGGAGCTGCAACATGGGGCTGGAGCATGAATTATTGTGAGGATGGTGCAGGGTCTCAGTGAGTCTGAACTCACTTATGGCCTATAACAACCAGCCCTGGAAGTCCTTAACTTCCCTGCTCCTGGAGGGTGGGGGTAACTGGGTCCTTGGAAGACACAGCCCTTGCACCTTGATGTGCTCAGTCTGTGGGGCATTTTATCTTTCCTGGTGTGGCGCTTTGGGTTAATGCGCTGGACTGCAAAGTCGGTTTGAACTGCAAAGTTGGTGGTTCAAGCTCACCAGTCGCTCCTTTGAAACCCTCTACAGGGTCGCTATGGGTTGGAACGGACTCGATGGCACTTAACAACAACAACAACAATTAACCAATACCATTCCGTTCGCAATTTGTCACGGTCGCAGCACACAAGCACAAAACGGAGTAAAGAAAATATAACCGCTGGAGAAGGAAGAAAGGAGGAAGTTGTTGCCTGCAGCTAGTGGCCTTAAAAGCCTGGCTGGGATGAGATCCTTCCAGACCAAGTCCGAGGAGGCGAGGGGCGTGATAGGGTAGGGACCTGGAGCCAGTTTCCGAGCTAGGGCGTTGCGCGCGTATCCGCGCCTCGGCTCTGGCGGCGTGCGCGCGGCTGGGACTGCGTCTCAGCTGGTGGGTGGAGCCACAGTCGCGGCCCACGCGGTAAACAGATAACATGGCGGCTAAGGCGTCTAGGGCACTAGGGGCCTTGCAGGCCAGCAGTGCACGCTTGACTGCCGTGTGGTGTGCACGGTTCGGCCTTGACCTGCGGCTGTTGGGCACGGCAAGAAGCCTGCGGGCGGGATCTGCGATGTGGGCCCAGGGCTGGACACCCGCGGCCAGGGTAGCTACCCTGAGCAGGGGCTACAGCTCTGAGGTGAAGGCGGAGGACGAGTTGCGGGTGCGGTACCTGGAGGACGAATATAGAGGTGAGGTGCCGGCGGGGCCCTGGGCGTCTGCACTGGCCTCGCCTCCCCCTTCCCCCCAGGGTGTACGGCACCCGGGCGTCAAGGACCATCACGGTGGAGTAGTCGACAGATTTGTGGTGTTTGCGCTTACGTCAGTGTCCCCTGACTGGACATGGGTCTGGGTCAACTCAGTTCGTTGAGTCCAAGGTCCTTCCTCTAGCCCCAACATTTGCATTTTCTTTATGCACTAGAGTTAGCGCTTTTAATCATTGATTGTGTACAAAGTGAACACATTTAGCGCCAAAGTAATAACTGCAATTTACAATTCTTCAGACGAGCCTAGGTCAATAAACTGTATTTTATTCCTGCTGCCAGATTTTGTTCTTGATCTGCAATTGCCTTCTGTGTACTCAGTGGGGAGGATTTATAAACTTGCATTGTGAATGCACTTCATTATTTTGAAGAGCCTAAAGAACTTTGAACTGTGTTCAACTCTAATCATTTTTTTCTCTTGCCCGTTTTATCCTAGAAAGTTAGATTTTGGGAAGTATTCCTCTTCATTTATACATTTTTGAGAGCTTTTTTGCCTGCTTGTTTAATGCTAATCCTGGGAGCACAACTGTGAATGTTATTGGCTTTGTCCTTGAGTTACCTACATTGGGAGGAGACACATAAGCTATACATTATAGTGGGAGCTCTGGTAGCGTAGTGGTTACGAATCGGGCTGCGAACTTTAAGGTCAGTGGTTCGAAACTACCAGCCGCTCCGCGGGAGAAAGATGAGGCTTTCTACTCCCGTAAGGATTTAT